CCAACATTAGTTCATGATGAAAACCTCAAAATCTGTGGAAAAATATAAAATACCTTAACATAATAAAAGCCATTCACAACAAACCCACAGCTAATATAATTCTCAATGATGAAAACTGAAAAAATTTTCCACAAATATATGGTACAAGTCAAGGATGTCCACTCTCACCCCTACAATTCAATAAAGTATTGGAAATTCTAGCTACAGCAATTATACAAAATAAATATTTAAAAGGAATCCAAATTTAGAAAGAAGTAAAATCACAGAATTTAAATGAAATCATGTACATGAAAAATTTTTGAAAGGCTTCATGTATAAATGATTACTATTTGGTGCCCAGAATGTTCTCTTTGACTTGACCTTCCATAAGACAACAAAATAATAGTAAAAGGAGTTGCTATCTCCTCTAGCACTGTTGGTGGGAGTGCAAACTGGTCCAACCACTGTGGAGAGCTGTGTGGAGATTTCTGGACCTACTAAACATAGAGCTTCCATATGATCCAGCAATTCCACTCCTAGGTATTTACCCAAAGGACACAGAAACATCAATTCCAAAGAACACCTGCACCCCTATGTTTATAGCAGCACTGTTTACAATAGCTAAGCTTTGGAAACAACCCAAATGCCCAAAAATAGATGACTGGATCAAGAAGATGTGGTACATATATACCATGGAATATTACTCAGCATTCAAAAAAGATAAACACATGCAATTTGCAGCAACATGGATGGCACTGGGAGGGATCATGCTCAGCGAAATAAGCCAAAAAGAAAAAGAAAAATACCGGATGGTCTCACTCATAGCAGGAATCTAGAAAACTTAAATAAGGGACCAGGAAAACGAATAACTATAAGAAAGTGAAAATCAAAATCAACAAAAAACTACGAACCAGAGACACTTTTAGGGGGGCGGGGGTGGGAGGGGAGGGATTGGGGTCAGAATGGGGGGCTGCAATTGTATGGGGAATATAAAAATAAAATTTATTATTAAAAAAAAATAAAAAAAAAATAAAAAAAAAAAGGAGTTGCTAATGTTGGTGTTGTAATCATTTCTATGTTTCTCAAGGTAACTTGCCAGCCAAAAATTGTTTGAAGAAGTAAAATAGAAAATAATTTGTTCATATATTCCATTATTCTTATACATAACATTTTTCTTTATCTTATCACGTAGCAAGTAACAGATTGGAGATCCTGAAGGAACTGTATAGGGTTCTTTCATTATATAGAAAAACTATCTTTTTCACACTGAAATAGGATTGAAAATAATTTAGATTTATTGTCTTTTTAAATGCAAAGATTTTAAAGCTCCATTGTTTAACTGTGGAAAAGCAAAGCAAAGTGTTTGATCCCTACCTACATATGAGTCATTAACAGTATATTTAAACAGAAGCAGTTCATTTAAAATGGTTAATATCATCAGATTGCCCATATTATACTCTGGTATCTATACCTAAGTGCTGAGTATTTGTTCAGTCTATGCTTTGAACTATTTCTGGGAACATATCCCATAAAGCAATGTTCTTTTTATTCATTTGCATTTCATAAATAACATTGGAGGATTTCCTAGATGTAGTATATAGCAAGTCAGCTAGAGAAGTGAGGAAGTAAACATCAATCTTGCTAAGAGGACCAACAGAATGGCAAATCAGTGGTGAGGAATACCTAGAGTGGGATGAGAGTAAGAAGGAGGAAGGTTTCTGGGCCTTCCTGGTGGTGCAAGGGGTAAAGATGCAACCTATGAAGCTATCTGCAGCTTCTGCAGCACGAGTTTGATCCCTGGCCAGGGAGCAACACAAATGGCGCAGCAGACATCTCCTGACTCTCCCGCTGCTCCCATCAGCAGTGATTTCAGTCAATCTGCCTGTTCTGTTTCCCACTTTGTTTCTGGTGAATCCTCTCACCCCCCACACCTCTGGCCTGTGCCCCAGCTCTTGTATGAATAAATAAAATAATTCTTAAAAAAAAAAAAAGGAGGCAGGTTTCCGTAGAGAAATGGAGTTCAGGAAGGAGGGAGGTGTTGATTGTTTGGATGAGCCATGATGATAGGTTGTTGTGAAAGTCTTTCCTGCAGGACTATGCACATACTTTTGGTTAGTAGCTGCCATGATGAGAACCCACTCATCCTATAAAATGTACATGTGTTTCTATGGAAACAATAGTTTTGTGCCAGGTTCTATCATAGATTCTTCATACAAAATTAATCCTCATCTGAATTCTAGGGATACCTACTCATTATGTCCTCTCTTGACAATGAAAGGAATTAGATTCAAAAAAGATAACTAACTTGACATAGATCATACCTGCACTGATAACATAGAATTTAAGTCCAGGTATACTTAGATATTAAATCTATTCTACAATATCATCTTCAAACTGTGATAAACACAATACTAGTACAAGACTACTAAGTCGCTCTAAAGGGTTCACAAAATTCCAGGTCCTTCTCTCAAGCATGTTTCTTAAGTGAATCTATGTGAGTAGTCTCCTAAAGATTCATTTTACCAACTCCACTTCACAATGTCTCTCCTCTGAAATTTCAGTAGAAAGATATACCTGTATCCACTCACTAGAAGGAGCAAAAATATATAAGGCGACAAGTGGAGAATTCAAACATTGATGTCAATAATGTAGTGAATAAATTTAATGATAGGAAACATCATAGAAGTATGATGGATTATAAATAAATTTGTAATTTATTTTTTTAAAGATTTATTTATTTATGCATACAAGAGCTGGGATACAGGCTAGAGGTGTGGGGGTGAGAGGATTCACCAGAGACAGAGTGGGGAGCAGAACAGGTGGATCCATTATAGAACAGCCCTGATATTGATCCACTGAAATATACTGCTGAGGGGAGCAGTGGGCGAGACAGGAGAGGTCTGCTGTGCCATGTGGGTTGCTTCCTGGCCGGCCGGGGAATCAAATTTGTTCTGCAGATGTTGTGGAACAGCTTCATAGGTTGTGTCTTAACCCCTCGGGCCACCAGGGAGGCCCACAAATTTATAATTTATAAGATTGTTGCATCAGTGAATTCTTTATAGGCTTGTCAACTGATGGAATCATTTATAAAAGCTAATTTTTCAAGCTTGATTGCTCTGTTATTGTGGCATTATAACTTAAGAGGAGTTCACAGATTAAGTAAAATTACTATAAAAGTCTTTAAATTCCCATGTAGATATCTATGAGTTCAAGGTTTTTAAGAAGTAGATCTAATGTTTAGAATAGAATTTTTACTGTTCTTTTATGCTTTCTATCAATGCCTAATGTTTATCTTTGTATAATTGAATGAACTTTTGATGATCTTTCATCAATATCATTAGCTAGAATAATTGGGTAAGTGAAGGATAATTAAGAATTCCAAATTAGAAAAGAAGTAAAGCTACTCACTACTCTTAGATGATATGATAATATACATAGAAAATCTTAACGTTGGGGGCCTAGTGTTTAAGTGTCAGCATTATTACTGCTATGGTCTGAGGTTAATCCCCAGCCAGGGAGAGCACCCACACGGTGCAAGAGACCTCTCATGTCTTGCCCACTATCCCCTCAGCAGTGTATTTCAGTAAATCTGCCTATTCTGCTCTACACTCTGTCTGGTGAATTCTCTCATTTCCACCCCCCACTTCTGGCCTACACCCCAGTTCTTCTATGCATAAAAAAATACATCTTAAAAAAGAACAAACCCTAAAGACTACACACCCATACACACACAAATAAATATTATAATCAGTAAAGTGATAAAAATCAACATTAAATATATGCAAAAAATAAGTTAGAAGAGAAAGAAAGCAATCCTAATTGTAATTGCATCAAAAAGTATTAAATACCTAGGAATTAATTTGGCAATGGGGTTAAAATACCTGTGCAATGAATACTGTAAATCAGTGTTAAAAGCAATAGAACACACAATGAAATGTAAACATACTCCCTGGCCTGCGGCGATCAAACCCGTGTTGCAGAGGCTGTGGACAGCTTCACAGCACTGCACTCAACAGCCTGCACCACCAGGGGAGACCCAGGAGTAATAAATTCTCACAACAGAGTTGCTGCAAAGGTTTAAACACACATATGGCAAACACAACTTAGTACAATTAATATCAGAAAATAATAGCTTTTATTATAAATATTATTCTTATCATTAGTACTCTTGATGCAATGAACGGAACCACTTAACTTTGAAACAAATATTGTTCAAAATATACGTTATGACTTGAAGTTCCCTGTACCATTGATAATGAAATATATATCCAAATCTAAAATATATGTTTCCTCTGGAACCAGAAACAAAAGCTAAAGGTAACCACCAGAACTGGAAAACAAAGGAAAACAGGACAAGTAGGAAAGATCTACACTAATTGCTCTTAAACATTGAGGTGAGAGGGCCTCCCCTGGTGGCGCAGGTGGCTGAGCACAGCACTGTGAAGCTGTTCGCAGCCTCTGCAGCACAGGTTCGATCCCCGCCGGCCAGCGAGGGTCCCATATGGCTCAGCAGACCTCTCCTGCTGCTCCTGCTGCTCCCCTCAGCAGTGCGTTTCGTCAGTCTGCCTGTTCTGCTCCCCGCTCTAGCTTTGGTAAATCCTCTCACCCTCCCGCACATCTGGCCCGTACCCCAGTTCTTGTGTAAATAAATAAATAAATCTTTAAAAAAAAAGATTGAGGTGAGAGTGACTAAACTTATTATTATAAAGAGGTCTTACTGCTCTTTAGTGCACAAAAGGGAACTAATAGGCAGGAGTAACATAGAGGGCACAAATTGGCTTAGCCTATTCTATCTGGTTAATCAGTTCATTGTACCCAGATTAACATCAGTCAATTCTACGATTTTTTATTCAATACCCACTGAGTATCTGGAATGTAAAATTCTCAATACAAAAAGAAGTATACTAATAATTTTATCACTTTGAGTCAGAGTATTCAATTGCAGATAATGAGATAATTACTTAGATTTTCAAACATTAAAGCAAACTAATTTTTTTTCTTAAATTTTCTTTTACCAACAGGATTTGCTAGCCCACTTACTGGGATAGCAGATGCCTCTCAAAGCAGCATGCACAACGCCTTACACATCTACATGAATGGAACGATGTCTCAGGTACAGGGATCTGCCAATGATCCCATTTTTCTTCTTCACCATGCATTTGTTGACAGGTTGGTTGACACTATTTCATAAATTCTGAAAAAGACAAAACTATGAAAACTATATAATTATTAATGGTTTCCAATAATCAAGGTTTGGAGGAAAGAATAGTCAGAAAAAGGAGTTTTAGGACCTTGAAAACACTCTGATTGTTATAATTATGAATATATCATTTTATATTTATCCAAATCCATTGGATATGCAATGCCAAAAATAAACTCTAAAGTTAGCTATGAACTGTGGGAAATTATGACCTGTGAATGTATGTTCATCAGTTGTAACAAATGTACCACTTTTGTGATAATGGAGGAGGCTATGAGGGATATAGGGGATCTCTGAAACTTCCTCTCAATTTTATTATAAGCATAAAACTCTTTTAAAATTTCTTCAGAGAGAGGAGTATGACTGTGACCTCAGTTTGCATTTTAAATAACTGGAATTATGACTGATAACACAATTCTATTGTTAACTAATATCAGTCAAAACATCATCACACTTATGACAAGTAGAAGCATATCATGGGCAATGAGGGTGCTGATGGGCATCACTACATTATGTCCCCAAAACACTGATGCCCCTCTACCGCAGTCCACTGGACCCTCCCCACTTTGTTCTCTAGCCCCATCCTTTCTTTCTGGCAGTCTTAATTCTGCAGAGAGATTTCTAGGGTTTGTCTGGATTTAGTTTTGTCAGTTGCTTTGTTTTGTTTCTCTTTTTTTTTTTTTTGGGACAACATATCATGTTCTGATTTTATGTTTCTTTTTTAATTATGATTGATATTGTTTTACATCAGTGTTTCCATGATAGCAGTAAAGGAGCCCCCATTTCTGGCACAGAGCACCAAGCACCACGGAACCCATAGTCCATGATCATAGACCTTTGTGCTCCCTCAATTCTTTGTTCTTATCCCTTTCCTTCAGCCCCCTCTTGCCCTTCTGGTTGCCCTCATGGCACAGGCATATTTCAAGGGTTAGCATTTCAGATTGGCTTTATCTCACACTTTGTTTGTTTTTTCTGTATTTCTCATTTATTCCTTGCTTTGTTTTTTTTTTTCTTTATATTCCACATAAGAATGGAATCATCCAGCCTTGTCTTAATTTTATTCCAATTAGCATAATCATCTCCATTTCCATGCATGTTGTTGCATATGGCAAGATTTCATTTTTTTTTTCCTTATAGTTGAGTGGTATTCCACTGATTATATATGCCATATATTCTTTAACCAAATATGTGTTATTGGATACTGTGTTTCCATAACTTGGTTATTACAAATGAAAAATACATCAAAATATATTTGAGACATGGATGTAATACCTGAAGCCATAAAATAAATAGAAAATAACACCACTTAACTTTGACTTCAGTGATATCTTCAGGGACTTGCCTCAAACAATAAGGAAAATAAAAGCAAAAAAAAAAAATGAATAGTACTACATCAAACTAAAAAGCCTCTACACAGCTAAAGACTGTGATTAAATGAAAAGATATACCAATGAGGAAGAGAACATATATATATGCATCATACATGCTACAGTGGCATAATGCCTAAAATATACAAAGAACTCATATAACTCAACAAAAATAAAACAAATTATTCAATCAAAAAATGGATTCAAAATTTAAATAGAAAAAAAGAAAACAAATTACCCAATCAAAAACTGGGTTAAAGAAGACATAGCATTGCCCAAAAGGAACATGAAAATTTGTTTATTGTGACTTAAGGAAAATGCAAATCTAAACTGCAATGAGATACCACCTCACACCTATGAAAAAGGCCCTTATCAAAATAACCAGAAACAGGGCCTCCCTGGTGGCCAATGGGTTAAACGCAGCACTATGAAGCAATCTTCAGCCTCTGCAGCATGAGTTCAATCCTCAGCCAGCTAGTGAGCAACACACATGGCGCAGCAGACCTCTACTATCTCACCCGCTGCTCCCCTCAACAGTGTATTTCACAATCTGTCTGTTCTACTCTCCACTCTGTCTTTGGTGAATCCTCTCAACCCCCGCACCTCTGGCCTGTACCTCAGTTCTTGTATGCATAGGTAAATAAATCTTTAAAATAAGCAGAAACAACAAGTGTTGGTGAGGATGTGGAGAAAATGGAACCCTCATACACGTTTGCTGGGAATTGTAGACTAATGCTGTCCCTATAAAAAACAGCACATAGGATTCTCAAAATAGTAAAAGTAGATCTACCATTTGATACATTCCACTCCAAGGCATTTACCTGGAGAATACAAAATCCCTAATTCGAAAAGATATATGCAGTCCAATTTTCATTGCTGCATTATTTACAATAGCCACATTATGGAAAACTTACTAATCTTTGCTAGTCCAAACAAAGTAAATCAATACTCATTTGAATTTCTTGAATTTATGTATGTTATGCATTGTGTTTTTTTTTCTAAAATGTTTGTGTCCTTTCTTTGCTTTTTCATGTTAATTTATTTGCCTGAATGGTACAGTTTCTTCATAATTTTTTTAAAGATTTATTTATTTATTTATTTATACAAGCACTGGGTACAGTCAGAAGCGTGGGAGGGTTAGAGAATTCACCAGAGCCAGAGGGGAGAGCAGAGCAGGCAGACTGACCAAGTACACTACTGAGGGGAGCAGCGGGCGAGGCAGGAAATGTCTGTGTGCCATGAGGGACCCTCGCTAGGGGCTGGTGATCGAACCGGTGCTGCAGAGACTGTGGGCAGCTTTGCAGCCCAGTGCTCAACTGCTGCGCCACCAGGGAGGCCCTTCTTCATAAATTTTTTAACAATTTGTTTTGTCATAAAATTTTCAAATATTTTCTGCAGTTGTCAATTACATTTTAATATATCAATAGTATGTTTTGGCTATTTCTGAATATTTTTAAATGTAATCTTTTGTTCATCAGTTGAGACAGCTTTGTTCTTCCATATTCTTATCTATTAAAAAAAAAAGGGTTGATCTACTCTCCAAGTTCCTTTCTGGATTTTATAACACTCTAGTTAATGTTTTCTTGAACAAATGACAGTAGAATGCATTTGGACAGTAGAATGCATTATTGGACTTTATTGGGTTTTTTAGTGACAGCTTAATCATGTATTTAGTTATGGGTCATAGGTAACTGGCAAATAGATAAGTTCAATCCATTGTTTAATTTATTTTTCTCTGCTATTCAAATTAAGGTCTGACAAGGAACTCTAAGTTATACTCAGATTTGTAAACACGCTTTCTGGCAAAGAGAGTTGAGGAGTGAGCGCCCTGGTAAAAACAAGAGGTTTAAATCTTGTTTATTATTTTTCTTTAAGATAAATTTGGGGGCATGCTCAAGCAAGAGAAATTTAAACTTTTGGCCAACTCAACACTATTGCATCCATTAAGCCAAGCTGATATTTTGGTAATGAAATCAGGTAATTTTATGCTTATTGCTTCCTCAGGAAGGGAGATGAGAATTGGTTTGGGCCAGTACACTTTAATAAATGTCAGAGAAAAAATAAAGGGGGACCTTAGAAATACTTCATTTTCCTTGACACCATGAAAGACTCATATGGTCAAAAGCAAGCACGCCTCATTAAAGCAATGCTAATTCATCAAGCGTGAAGTGCCCTCCATGTGTGGTGTGGAATAGCAGGCCTTGAAACTGCAGTAGTTACTAATATTTTTCATCCCCACTTCATGGCCCAGATATGTAAATAACTGAGAAATATAACACAAAATGTAAGATCTGCAGTTGCAATGTTTTAGTTGGCTAAGGTTATGGAAATAGAATTAAAAAAAGCCTTGTGCCTCCCTGGTGGCACACTGGGTTAGCACAGCACTGTGAAGGTGTCCACAGCTCTGCAGTGCGAGTGTCACTGTTTAATGCCAGAATTCATGTCACATCTGACTTGGGTTCTGATGATTATCTCTTTACTACCTACTGGCATTGAACGTCAAATATGCTTTATTTGGTGATAGGAACTGAAGTAGATAGTTTTTCAATGTTAGGACTTATATTAATCTGGCTAGAAGTTGAGCTGTGGTTTTTGTAGATTTAAGTTGATAAGGGGGATGAGCTCATTAACCGTTTCATCCATTAAATCTTTTATTACTACAAATTGATTACATAGGTAAATTATTTTTATTTCTTTGAAGACAATATTATTTTTAAATTGAAATGTAGTGTTTTTCCTCAAGTGACAAATGGCAGAAATGTTGTCTTCATATGTCATGTAGTACTAGTAGTTCCTTGACTATTAGATTCATTTGAAATTGCCAATATTTAATTCAGTGGGAGATATTTTGAGGGAAACGTCTCATTATTTAAAGAAAAAAAAAACTGTTTACCAGTCCCTCCCTGGTGGCACAAGGGTGTTAAGAGATAGCACTACGAAGCTATCCACAGCCACTGCGGTATGAGTTCAATCCCCGCCAGGGAGGTGACCCACATGGTGCAGCAGACCTCTCTTGACTTGCAGACAGCTCCCCTCAGTAGTGTATTTCAGTGGATCCACCTGTTATGTTCCCCACTCTGTCTCTGGTGGGTCCTCCCACCCCCCCACACCTCTGGACTGTACCCCACTTCTTGTATGCATAAATTTTTTAAAAAATGTTTACTAGTTAAAACCTAGTAAACGTGGGCCTCCCCGTTGGCACAGTGGTTGAGCGCTGGGCTGCGAAGCTGCCTGCAGCCTCTGCAGCGCCGGTTCGATCCCAGACCACTGGCAAGGGTCCCTCATGGCGCGCAGACCTCTCCTGCCGCCCGCTGCTCTCCTCAGCAGTGTATTTCATCAGTCTGCCTGTTCTGTTCCCTGCTCTGGCTCTGGTGAATTCTCTCACCCTCCCGCGCTTCTGACTGTACCCAGTGCTTGTATAAATAAATAAATTAATTAAAAAAAAAAAAAAGAAAGCTATGTTACTTTAAAAAAAAAAAACCTAGTAAACTTTATTAAACATTGTTTGGGAAAACAAGATGTCATATAAACACTATTATATGATTTTCTGTTTGTGTTATAATTATGTATACAATTTATATATTCACACACACACACAAACAAACATGCTATAAACTAGTTTTAACAAAACTATGGAGCAATTACTTGTGATATTTTTCTTTTCTCCTTTTTGCTTTTTTGAATTTTCTTTATTGTATATAGTGAACAAGTACTGCTTTTAGGAAAAGAAGAAAAATGTAGAAACTAAAAAGTTTGATTCATAGATTTATAGGCCTTGAATAGAATTCAGGACATTATTTGTTAAGTCAGGTACTAATTTCTTCATTTGTGGAATTTCAGGCACATACACGAAAAACAATGTTCTTGCATTCTTTCCTTTACCCTTTTTTTTAAAGATTTATTTATTTTATACAAGAACTGGGGTTCAGGCCAGATGCACGGGAAGGTGAGAGGATTCACCAGAGACAGAGCGGGGAACAGAACAGGCAGACTGACTAGGGCGAGACAGGAGAGGTCTGCCGCATCATGTGGGACCCTCCCCAGCGGCCAGGATCGAACCAGCGCTGCAGAGGCTGCGGACAGATTCACAGTGCGGTACTCAACTGCTTGTGCCACCAGGGGAGGCTCCCTTTACCATTTTTGATTTTGAGAATAATAACCATTTTTAAATACTCAGCTCACTTATATATGACTTTGAAATTCGTGGTATATGATATGTCATGTCTATCACCAATTGAGTTCTTCAGATGTAGTACTAACAATGAAGAAGAGGGATGATGATAACTTCTATTTACTATTAACCAAGTACTTCACTATTTATTTGGTTATTTTAATTCTCAAATACCTTCATTACATAAAAATTATATCTACAGATGAACAAAAGAAAAATACCTCAGAAACTTTGCAAATTCCGCTTCATACCCACAGATACCAAGTTTTTATACACATTTATGTTTCTCCAAAACTTGACAGATAGTGGCAACTCAGTAAAAATATATAATAGGTGAGCTAATTATGGAGTATATGGGTATTTCTGGACCAGATTTTTGTGTTTATCAGTGGTCTATTGATCCCTCAATTCACAATTAAAATCAGCTTTGTCACAACTAGTATTTCAATTTCAGCTTCTCTAGGCACATAAAATGGTTTTCTGTCAAGGAAAATATGCTCGCCATTGGTACCATCTGGATATCTTGTTACTTTTTTATGGAATTTTAAAATGGTTTCTCAAAAAGTGTGTTTATTTGAAACATCATCACTCTCCTTTATAGACCACACCCTCTCCACCATGCACTAACCTTTTATTTCCTAACTTAAATTTTAGAGTTACTTAACATTAGCTTGTTTATTCAACACTTTCATTAAAATTATCACATTGGACAATCCCTTTGTAAACATATAAGACAAATATTACTTTCCATTTTAGAGTTGAAAAGGCTAAGTCTTGAGAATGTCCTGTGATTTGTTTAAAATCATATAGTTCTCAAACCACAGAGTGAGACCTGAAGGGGAGTTGTCTGACTCTAATGTTCTTCCCGCTATCTTATATGGCCTAGTGATATAGTTTGCATCACACTTTTAATAACCCACTATAAATTCTTATTTATCTTGAGTTTCTACTCCATTCTTATTGGGTCCTTTTGATATCTTAGTTTTTAATTGTGTGCAACAAAAGCTAACTCCAGAAGATGTTATTGAGATGTATTTCATGTAGTGTTTTGCCTATATTTTCTTCTATATATGTTATGGTTTCAGATCTTATGGTCACTTACTTTATCCATCTTGACTTGTTTTTTTTTTTGCATGGTGTGAAGTAGTAGCCTACTTTCATTCTTTTCTTTTAATATTTACTTATGCATACAAGAGCTGGGGCACAGGCCAGAGATGCAGGGGGTGAGAGGATTCACCAGAGACAGAGTGGGGAACAAAACAGGCAGACCGATGAAATACACTGCTGAGGGGAGCAGCGGGCGAGTCAGGAGAGGTCTGCTGTGCCATGTGGGCAGCTCACTTGCCAAGGATCAAAGTTGTGCTGCAGTGGTTATGGATAGCTTCATAGGTTGTGTCTTAACCCCTTGCACCACCAGGAAGGCCCCTACTTTCATTCTTTTGCATGTGGTGGTCCAGTATTCCCAGCACCATTGCTCCTTTGTCAAAGATAAGTTGTCCATACATGTATGGCTTTATGTCTGTTTTTTTCTATTCCATTCCATTGGTCTGTGTGTCTGTTTTTATTACAGTACAATACTGTTTAATTATTACGGCTTTGTAGTTTGAAGTCTGGGAGTGTGACACCTCCATTCTCCTTTTTTTTTTTTTTTTTTTGTTAGAATCTTATTATTTATTTATTTATTTATTAGGATCTTTTTTTTTTTCCCTATTTTTTTTATCTGGCTGTTATCTCTCTTTTTTTTAATAATAAATTTTATTTTTATATTCCCCATACAATTTCAACCTCTCCATTCTGACCCCAATCCCTCCCCTCCCTCCCTCCACCCCACAAAAAGTATCTCTGGTTCATAATTTTTGTTGATTTTCACTTCCTTATAGTTATTCAATTTCCTGGTCCCTTATTTAAGTTTTCTAGATTCCTGCTATCAGGAGAGCTTTGGGTATTCGTGGTTTTTGTTGTTGTTGTTTTTGTGGCTCCTTCTGCATTTCATCAATATCTGTTCTATTTCTTTGAAGAATGCGATTGAGATTTTTATTGGGATTGTGTTGAATCTATCCCCAAAGCAAACAAAGTGAAGGAAAATATAAACAGCTGGGATTACATAAAACTAAAAAGCTTCTTACAGCAAAAGAGACATAACCAAAACAAAGAGATACTCGATTCATCAGGAGGAAATCTTTGTCCTCCATACAACTGAAAAGGGACAGATCAAACAAAAACAAAGTAAATAATACAGTCGAAAAAGGGCAGGATTGTTAAACAGACACTTATACAAAGAGGAAATGCAAGTTATCAACAAGTATCTTAAAAAAATGTTCAAGATCATTTATAATCAGGGAAATGCAAATCAAAACCACAATAAGATACCACCTCACACTAGTGAGAATGGCACATACTTAAAAAATACTAGCAACAACAAACATTGAAGAGGATGTGGAGAAAAAGGAACTATCCTACTCTTCTTGTGGGAATGCAATGTGGTCCAACCACTATGAAAAGCTGTGTGGAGGGTCCTCAAATTACTAAAACTGGAGATACAATATGACTCAGCAATTCCACTGCTAGGTATCTGTCCAAAGAACACAAAAACATTAATTCAAAAGGATACCTGCACCCCTATCTTATTGCAGTACTATTTACAATAGGTAAGATATGGAATCAACCCAAATGCCCAAAAATAGATGCCTGGATCAAGAAGCTGTGGTATATATAGATACAATGGGATACTATATAGCAAAGAAAGATAAACTTATGCCATTTGCAGCGACATAGATGGAGCTGTAAGGGATCATGATCAGTGAAACAAGCCAGAAGAAAAAAAATAATCAGGAGGAATATAGGGGAACCAATTAAGGGATCAAGAATGAAAAAAATAAATTAAAAAAATTAACCAGCAGCTATAAATCAGAGACATTCTACAGGGGAGTGAAGGGGAGAGGATTAAAGCAGGAGAGGAAAGAGCAAAAGGTATTATAGTGATGGTTCATAGGTGACTTGATGGTGAGAATCTTGAGGGGACTACACTTGAGAAGAGAAAGCAAATATTATACAAAAATGAACAATGATATAAAATTATATATATAAATAAATTTAGATTAAAAAATCTAACTCCAGTTGCTATAAACAGGTAAATAATATGCTGAGAGGATATTGGATAACTGAAAAATTGTGAAGAAACATTTTCAAAAATAGCTGAGAACAAGGGAAGAAGGTAGTGGTTATGATATATCACACAGACACATGCATATGACTATGTAATGTATATACATATATGTACACACATGCATATGTATGTATATACATATACGATATGCCATAATATATGGTTGTGTATGTCATAACATATACACACACCATGATATCAAGCTCAGGATGTTCTTGAACATCAGAAATTCTACTCTTGACTTTGCTGCTCCTAATAAGTGCATGTTTTTACTGCAATTGTTGTTGTTAACCACTAAAATGGTTTTCCCTTCTCATTACTTTCTTGTGCCATTGTCTCTTGTTGTGTTGTCTTAAATAGATATGTTTTCTGGGTGAGCACTGATTATGCAATCATACACTAGCTTCAGTGGAAGTTGGGAAAATATTACAAATGTTTATAGCCTCTCTCACGAAAATTGAGTTATTTTTCTTACCATGATTTATAAAGTATACACCACCAAACAAAAAAGAATTTGAAATAATTGAAAGGGCCACTCAATGACCAAAAAGAAGACCAAATCTCCCTACTGATTTCAATTTAGTTTTGTGTTATTCTTTTACAATTCGAGTTTTAATAGATTCTCAAAGTTTTACATCCATTACCACAATAAATTTTAGAATAGTTTTATCAATCCCAAATAAGAGACACATTTCAATTCCAAATATGACTCAATTGTCACTCAAACATAATTACCCTTGCTCTGCCACAATCTGAAGGATCTAAATTTGTCATGTAAATTTGTCTCCTCAAAGAAATTTGTTTTCAATGTTATCCTCTAATATTTCTTTCAAATGACTTAGCTTCATTAAGGCCTGATAGTAAGTAATGATGTTTTAGAAATATTTTGAAAGCATAGAAATTCATTTAGCATCTTTCGATGTCTTTGGGTTTCATAATTTCATGGTATTTTACTCTAAGAATTTCAAATACTTAATAGACAATGTTTCTAAGTTTGAGTAACCCTTTCCTGTGCAGTATTTTTGAACAGTGGCTCCGAAGGCACCGACCCCTTCAAGAAGTTTATCCAGAAGCCAATGCACCCATTGGACATAACCGTGAATCCTACATGGTCCCTTTCATACCACTGTACAGAAATGGTGAATTCTTCATCTCATCCAGAGATCTGGGCTATGAATACAGCTATCTACAAGACTCAGGTAAAGTTCAATTTCTTTCCTATAAATTACTGAACCTACTGTGACCAATTTATTTTGAGAGACTAAAAATTCTTAGGTATTAAAATGTTATCCCCGTACCCTTCAAATTGGGAAAATGCATTATAATTCTTAATTTATTTTTATTTATTATTACATGAACCAGGTTTCAAGCATCTTTCAATTCATATTTATTATGCTTAGAATAGATTATTTTGTGCTTGGTCACCATGAGAAAAAATCTCGACTTAAAATAGGAATGGAATTCTTTTGAGACGTGATTATCGGCTGACTATTATGTGAATTTGGGAAATTTTAATTCAATTATCTTATCTCAGTTTCTTAGTACATCCAAATCTTCAATTACATGGCCGGTTGTTCCACTCAATTTATTCTGTATTCATGACTTTCTCTTGAATTTTTCCTCTCCTGTATGTCTATTTTTAAATTTTGAAATTCCACTTTTATCTTATTTAGAGCTTCATTTACTGCCTCAGCTCATTGTTTTTATTTCCCACAACACTCATTTGTTTTTTCTGAGTCTTTTATTTATTTGAATTTCTTTGTCATTGCAAATCTAAACTATGTGTCTTACGGGAAAAATACAGCATCCATGTCCATATCTATCAGTTTTGTCTCTGGTGTTCTGTGCTCTCTCTCTCTCTCTCTCTCTCTCGCTCTGATGCTATTTATTTGAGGAATCATGTTGCCACTCATTGGATTTTTCCTTCTGCCCATTATTAGCTCTGGAACCTAGCTGCAATATCTAGAACTTCTTCCAGGCATGGCTTATCACCCCTCACTGGTCAAAATTCTCATCTATTTAGGCAAGAGGTTTTGAGGTCTCTGCAGGTCCAAATGGGCACTGGCAGGAAATCTTGAGAAGTTCTCATGCTTCTTCTGGTTGGGGGAGGGCACTGACATTGTCTCCTAAATCTCACTTTCTTAACCTGAAATACTGGGATCAGAATACCTGAATGAGTTATTTTGATAATTAAATGACTGATGTATTAAAGATTCTTGTGTGGTATAACACATTAACAGTTTTGGAATCATCTTTGAAACTCACTGCTAGGTTAGCAAGAAAATTTGTGATAATATTGATTTTAAATCCAATTAAAACTAAAATTAATGGTGGTAACTATTATAATGGCAGTTGTTAAGACTGAGATTCAAGTAGTAATACAAAATCTTAGTATTAAACTAAATCTGGGGATAAACCTAAAAAAGGAGGTGAACGACTCTGTGTCTTTTAATAGGCAAATTCAGATTATTTAGATTTAGTGATTATTGATATATGAAAGTCTTCTGCTGACATTTGGTCCTTAATTTTTTTTTCATTCAATCTATTTCCTTTTTCAGTTCTTTGTGTATTCCTCACTTTGGTTTAGATACAAGTGCTCCTTTCAATATATGGGTGCAAATGCCTTCATTTTCTTTTTGTCTGAGCAGTTTGTGTTTGTTTTTGTTTTTTATTTCCCCACATATCTGTATTTATCTTTTTCTTACATCTGGGTCCTTGGTGCATTAATAAATTTAACGCCACTTGCTAATCCATCATTTGATGTAGTCTGCTTCCCTAGCTTTCAGGGATTTTTTTGTTTTGTTTTTAAATCTGAAAAACTGATTTCTCCATCATACGACTCTTTTTAAATTTAAAACTCCAGGGCCTCCCTGGTGGTGCAGGCAGTTGAGCACAGTGCTGTGAAGCTGTCCGCAGCCTCTGCAGTGCCACTTGGATCCCCACAGCCCTCGAAGCAACCCACATGGCTCCGCAGACCTCTCCTGTCTTACCCGCTGCTCCCCTCAGCAGTGTATTTCATCAGTCTGCCTGTTCTGTTCCCCACTCTGTCTCTGGTAAATCCTCTCACCCTCCTGTGTATCTGGCCTGTACCCTGGTTCTTGTATAAATAAAATAAATCTTTAAAATAAATTTAAAACTCCAGTTACTAGTTTCTGTTCATTAATTATGTTTCTCATGACATACATTTGTCTTTCTGAATTGTGTTGTGTCTCTGTTAAGATTTTAGTTGTTTCTCCAATATCACTTACTTGGTTTTCTGAATGTTTTCCATTTCTTTGAATTCCATTATAATGGCAAACTTGAACTCTCTATCTGATAGAAAGTTAAAATCTTCCATATCTCTGTTGTTTAGTTCTAAAGAATTGTTCTTGTTTGTGGTGTCATATTCCCTTGATGTCTCACATTGCCATATGTGTAGGTGTTTTTTTTTTTTTTTCCTGACCATTTTGCTGTTTTAGATCTTAGAAGTTGGAACTACTTCCATCTTTCCAGCTGGTTGTGTTGTGTTTTTTGTATGATTATTGCTGCTTGGACTTCTCAGATCTTTCACAGATCTGAGACCTGATATTATAGTTGCTGAGTCAAGGGGTGGAAGACTGGATTGGAGGTGTCACATCATTAGTGTGAATAATGTAGGGGGCAGGCTCATGTTAGTAGTATTGTCAATATCCCTACTTTCTGTGGATCCAGGCTCAAGGCTCTACAGTCTCTGTGCATTATCAATATATTACTTCCATAAATACAGAGATAGTTCTAATGTTCTGGGGACTTTTAAGATCCTACTAAGATTAATGAGCATTTCCCATCGTGATAGCTGTCATTGCTTTTAAAATGATTAAAACACTGTATTATTGAATGATTAATGGCATAATAATTTTCTTTAGATCATTTGGATTATTATAATATCAGTGTATCAGTGTATGGAAATGTGAAAATAGTAGTTAGCATTTAATTAATGCATGTTATCTACCAGGTGTTATGTAACTTGCAGATCAGATAGTACCTAAAAACTATAATACCCCAATAAGGTGGTATTGTTTACTAAGTTCCCAATGAAGATGAGGCTTAGTTGTATCAGTGGTAACTTTCCCAAGTTCTCACAGCTAGTAAGTAGCAGAGCTGACACTCATACCAAAGTGCCTGACTCTAAAGTATCATGGAAAGATGATGATAATGGTGGTGGTGATAATGATGAGATGATGTTGATACTGACAGTAATGGGGATAAATATGGTGCCATTAAAAACACTGAGATGTGGTCCTCCCCGGTGGCGCAGCGGTTGAGCGCTGGGTTGCGAAGCTGCCCGCGGCCTCTGCGGCGCCGGTTCGATCCCCGGCTGCTCCCGGCCACTGGAGGAGGGTCCCACATGGCGCGCAGACCTCTCTTGCCGCCCGCTGCTCCCCTCAGCAGTGTACTTCGGTCCTTCTGCCTGCTCTGCTCCCCGCTCTGGCTCTGGTGAATTCTCTCACCCTCCCGTGCTTCTGACTGTACCCAGTGCATGTATAAACAAAAAAAAAAAAAAAAACAAACAAACAAATAAATAAATAAAGCATGCCTCTATTAAAAAAAAAAATAAAAACACTGAGATGTATATCTATTTCAGACCCAGACTTTTTTCAAGACTACATTATGCCCTACTTGGAACAAGCAAGACGGATCTGGCCATCACTCCTTGGTGCTGCTATGGTGGGTGCGCTGCTTACAGCTGTGCTGGGAGGTCTCACCTACCAGTTATGTCATCACAAGAAGAAGCAGATCCTTGAAGAAAAGCAGCCACTCCTCATAGAAAAAGGGGATTACCACAACTTGTATCAGACACATTTATAAGGGCTTAGGCAATTGAGTTGGGCTTTAAAACCTGATCTCATTCTAACTCAAGTTATATTCAAGTCCCCAGTGATGTCCGGACAGAAATTCTTTGTATTTTTCTGTAAAAACCATTATCGGAATTGTAATCTAATACAAAATGTATCCCTCTTCCAATACCAGTAGAGTTTGCCTCGTTTTAATTTCAACACTTTTACAATTGTCCTAGAGGCTATATTTCTAACAGAAAGATGCCAGTTGTTAATAATTGATATATGTATCTGAATTAAAGTGCTATTATAAGAGGTGGGAATGAGTTTTGATTTTTTTCCTCCTGATTATCTAATGGAATGTTTTCTTTTCAGATGTGTGTATATATATATATATATATATATATATATATATTATAAATTGTATGTATTTACCATTGTTTTACAATGCTATATAAATTTAGGAGGTACAGTTTCATCTCTATATGTTATGTATCTTGCCTCACCCACGACCACTCCAAAGTTGGAGTGCCATTTCCATTATCAGGTTTACTAATCTACCCTTTCCTTCCATTTCCTTTCCCTCTGAAAAAACACTCCATTTTTTCAGAGTCTGAGTTATTTTTGTTGTAATTTTTTAGTTTGTTTACTTTGGTTATTTATATTCAAAATACGAGAGAAAACATCTGGTAATTGCACTTGGTATCATCACATCACATTCCATCCATTTTGTCACAAATGGTAAGATTTCATCTTATTTTAATAGAATAGAATTCCACATAAGTGTGACTTTATTTCTGGTCTCTCTATTTGGTTCCATTGGTCTGTGTGTCTGTTTTTCCTCCAATACCATACTGTTCTCATATTATGACTTTCTCATATAGTTTGAAGTTTGGAAGTGTGATAGATATGTCCATTCCCCTTTGTTTTTGTTTTAGGGCTTTGTCTATTCACATTTTTTTTATGGTTTCATATGAATTTCATCAGTATTCGGTCTATTTCTTTGAAGAGTGTCATTGAGATTTTTACTGGAATAGTGTTGAATCCATAAATTGTTTTGGTAGGATGGCCATTTTAATGTTAATCCTTACAATCCATGAGCAGGGAATGTCTTTCCATTTCTTTGTGTCTTCTTCTATTTCTTTTAATAGTGTTTTACAATTTTCTTTGTACAGGTCTTTCACCTCTTTTGTTAGGTTTATTCCCAAGTATTTGATTTTTTTTTTGTTTCAATTCAAAAAGGGATGACTTTCTTGATTTTCTCTTCTTCAGATTGATTGTGTATAGAAAGACTATTGATTTTTGCTTGTCGATTTTGTATCCTGCAACTTTACTACACTGGTTGATTATTTTGAGCAGTTTTTTTGTGGAGTTTTTATGTATATTATCATATCTGCAAATAGTGATAGGCTTTTTTTATTTATTGATTTATTTTTATTTATTTGTACAAGCACTGGGTACAGTCAGAAGTGCGGGAGGGTGAGAGAATTCACCAGAGCCAGAGAGGGGAGCAGAGCAGGCAGAAGGACTGAAGTACACTGCTGAGGGGAGCAGCTGGGGATCTAATCGGCGCTGCAGAGGCTGCGGGCAGCTTCGCAACCCAGCGATCAACCACTGTGCCACCAGGGAGGCCCTGCAAATAGTGATAGTTTTACTTCTTTCCCTATTTAAATTTCTTGTATGTCTTTCTCTTATTGCTCTGTCTAGAGCCTCCAGTATTATATTGAAGAGCATTGGTGAGAGAGGACATCCTTGTCTTGTTCCTGATCATAATGGAAAGGTCTTCAGCTTTTCACCATCGAGAATAATATTGGCTGTGGGTTTGTCATATATGTTTTATATCATGTCAAAATATGTTTCTTCTATCCTGAGAATTTCAAGGGCCTTCATCATAAATGGCTACTGTGCTTTGACAAAGGAGCAAAGAATATGCAATGGAACAAGGTCAGTTTGTTCAATAAATGGTTCTGGGAAAACTGGATCATCACATGAAAAAGAATGAAAGTAGACCACTACCTCTCACCATGCACAAAAATCAACTCAAAATGGATAAAAGATCTGAACATAAGACCTGAAACCATAAAATGTATAGAAGAAAATAAAGACGAAACAGTACATGACATGCACCTCAGTATCCTCTTTAAAGACTCATCACCCAAAGCAAAGATAGCCAAGGAAAAGATAAACACTTGGGGTTACATCAAAGTGGAAAGCTTCTATACAGCAAAAGAGACTTCAACCAAAACAGACACCCCACTGGTTAGGAAAAAATTTTGCATCCATACAACTGATAAGGGACTGATCACAAAGATATATGAAGAACTCCCAGGACTCAACAAAAGCAAACAATCTAGTCAAGAAATGGGCAGAAGAACTTAAAAGACATTTCTCCAAAGAGAAAATGCAAATGGCCAACAGGCATATGAAAAAATATTCAACATCCCTGATAATCAGGGAAATGCAAATCAAAATCACAATGAGATACCACCTTACACCAGTAAGAATGGCACATATCAAAAATAACAAGCAACAACAAATGTTGGCGAGGATGTGGAGAAAAAGGAACTCTCCTACATTGCTGGTGGGAGTGCAAACTGCTCCAACCACTGTGGAAAGCTACCTGGAAATTCCTCAGTCTACTGAAAATGGAGCTGCAGTATAACCCAGCAATTCCACTCCTAGGGATGTACCCAAAGGACGCAAAAACATGAATTAAAAAAAAAACACCTGTACCCCTATGGTTATTGCAGCACTATATATAATAGGTAAAACCTGGAAACAACCCAAATGCCCCAAAATAGATGACTAGACCAATAAGATGAGGCATATATACATATGGAATGCTACCCAGCAATCAAAAAAGATAAACTCATGCCATTCACAGCAATGTGGATGGAGCTAGAAGGAATTATGCTCAATGAAATAAGTGAGAAGGAAATAGAAAAATATTGGATGGTTTCACTTATTGGAGGAATGTAGGGGGACCAAATAAGACATCAGAGGAAAAATAACAATACAAAACACAGCAAAACAAAACAAAATTATAATGCAGACAATTATAATGCAGAGACATCCTGCAGGGGAGGAGGAGGGAGAGGGATCAGAGGGAGGGAGGGAGGAGCACAGGGGACTGAGTTGATGGTGCACGGGTGCACTGGGGAAGGAAATTTTATGGGGACTACACCTGAGGGGGTGGGGGGAAGTAAACTTTGTTTAAAAATGAATAATGATGATAAAAAATATATAAATAGAAAGAAAATTTAAAAAAATATATATATAATAGTTTTCCAAGGAGGTGAGGGAATGAAAAAAAAACAAAAACAAAAACAAAAAAAAACAGCATTCCACTGTGCAACTATACCTCTATGTCTTTATCAACAATGTTTCCTTGTCTTAGCTATTGTATTTATATTCCTTTTTTTTTTTTAAATTGGTGTTTTAATTTTCTTCGGGCAGGACTCCCTGGTAGTGAAAGGGGTTAAGACACAACCTACCATACAATCTACAGCCACTGCAGCATGAGTTTGATCCCCAGCCAGGGAGGTACCCACATGGTACAGCAGACCACTGTGACTAGTCTGCTTTTCCCCTCAGCAGTGTATTTCAATCAACCCGCCTGTTCTGTTCCCCACTCTGTTCTGTTCCCCACTCTGGTGAATCCTCTCACATACCCCCACATGCCTCTGGCCTGTATCCCAGTTTTTTATGCATAAATAAGTAAATCTTTAAAAAAATAATTTTCACAGGCAATTACCTAGCAATAGTATACTTGTTATATTGAATCCCATTTTAAGATTTTTAAGGAATCTTCATAACTTTTTATATAGAGCCTGGGATAGTCTACATTCTCATCAACAGTTAATGTGTGTTCTTTTTTCCACCACACCCTCAGCAACACCTGTATTTCAAATGTTTTCATTATAATTCATTCTCACAGATGTGAGGTGATATCTCACTGAGGTTTTGATTTGCATTTTCCTAATTGGAAGTGAAGTTGAGCATTTTTTTCATGTGCCTGTTTGCATCTGTATATCTTTTTGGAGAAGTGTCTACTCAACTCTTCTGTCCAACATTTGATTTTGTTGTTGTTTTAGAGGTATATGCGTTTTTTATAAATTTTGGATATTGAGGCACTATTGAAAGTCAGATGAAATAATATAATTTTCTTTTCATTTTTTGTGGTTTCCTTTGTGATACAAAAATTTTTGTTTGACATTTTGTTTAGCTTGTTTTTGTTTTTGTTTCCTCTGTGGTTGAATTTTTTGTTGTTGTTTGTTTATTTATTTGTGCCTATAAGAACTGGGGTATAGGCCAGAGATGTGGGGGTGAGAGGATTCACCAGAGACAGAGTGGGGAGAAGAACAGGTGGATTTACTGAAAAACACTGCTGAAGGGAGCAGCGGGCGAGACAGGAGAGGTCTGCTGTGCCATGTGGGTTAGCTCCCTTGTTGGGGATCAGGACTGAACTCAGTCACGCCACAGTGGCTGGCGGTAGCTAGATAGCACAAGAAATAATCCCTGCACCACTAGGGAGGCCCCAGGGTTGGGTCTTTAGAGACATTTCTGCACTCGATGTACAGAGAATATTAACTATGTTTATTTTTATGTATTTTATATTTTAGGATTAATATCCAAGTTTTTAATTCATTTTGAGTTAATTTTTCTGTGTGGTGTTTAATAATAATAAAATTTTATTCTTTTGCATATGGTTTTGTAGGTTATCTAGCACCATTTGTTAAGAGACTTTCCTTTCTACATTGTATGGTGTTGGCTCATTTGTCAAAGATTAACTGTCCATAAATATGATTGTTTATATCCCATTCTATTCTATTTATATTTACATAAATTTTATTCTATATATATTTCATTCTATTCTATTCAGTTCTCATTCTATTCCACTGGTCTCTGTGTCTGTTTTTGGCTTAATACCATGTAATTTTGATTATTACAACTTTGTAGTATAATATGAAGTCAGGAAGTGAATGATCTCTGTTTTTCTTCTTCTTTCTCAAGGTTGCTTTGATTTTTGAGATCTTCATGCAGTACCATAAAAATTTTAGAGTTGTTTTTTTCTGTTACATATAAAATTGTCATTGGGTGATTGATAGGAACTGCACTGAATCTATAGATTGGTTTAGGAACATGCCATTTTGACACTGGCTACTCTTCCAATCTATGAATGCAGTATTTTTTTTTTCTATTTCTTTGAATGTTCTATTTATTTTAGCAAAGTTTTATAGTTCTCAATGTATAGGTATTTTA